CCACCGTAAGGAACTAGGCTTCCTTGGAGAAATGGCTAATTCCAGCTCTAGGGCAAGAAATGCCAAGATGTGCTTAGAACATCATGTCATACCAGACAGCAAGGAAGCTACCATAGAGTACGAGAGTCCTATCAAAAGGACTAGGAAACCAATTTGAAGGGGCTCCCACTGGCCAAAGAGAGGACAATGTGAGCGTCAGTAAGAACAACTGCAAAGAACTGAAACACATTAGTTATGTTTAAATTCATATGTTTATACTGATCCTCAGAAAAACAAAGACCAACGCCACCTTCCCTGCAGAGCATGTTCAGGAATGAAATCATTCTTCTGAAAACAGGCAAGAGAAGGCAACAAGCTAACGAGAAGGTATCTTGCCTTTTTTTTTCTGTGACTCCCTCTCAGGGAAACCAAATAGCAGACGAGAGGAGGTTTCTCTTTATCAAAGTATGCCGGCTAATAAGTGAAGGAAAAATGGAGGACGTGATCATTTTACAAACTCAAATGAAGCAAGGCATCTAGCTAGGTAAGGTGATCTACAGTTATTGACATCACAAAAACAGAGGCAAGCAAACGGGACGAGCCGCCCATGGTAGTATACAACATCACCAATGAAACATCCTGGCCGAAGGTGCCAACCTGAAGCTGCCCGTGCCTTTGGTTCTAACTGCTAACTTACAGGCAATGCCGGAGGCAGAGGACATGTTAAAATGCCGTGGAAAGGCAGTCTACAGAATTCAGACTATGGGAAACAGTAGGACAAATGATCCATAAGCAGCCCTGAAAAATAGAAAGGTGTGGTAGAGAGAAAAGCCACAGATCAGTAAAAGCTTAAAAGGTGTACCAGCCAATGGCCATGGATGGATTTTATTTGGATCCAGGTTCAAACAAACTTTAAAAACAAATGATCAGAGTAGTGGGGGAACTCTGAACACTGGACATTTTCTATTATTATAACATTAATGACATGCTAAAAAAACGTTAGGAGTAATAAGACATTAGGATTGTATTTTTAAAAAGTCTTTAGTAGTCACACTGAAGTATTTATGGATGAAAATATAATGTCTGGAATTCGCCTCAGAATAACCCAGTGGAGGGGCTGGGTGGCAGCTGTGAGGGTACATGACACAGGGTCTGGTCTTGAGTTAATTATCATTGAAGGTGAGTCATGGGTTCCATAGGGTCTCATTATCTTATTCTTTTTTTTTTTTATTTTTTATTTGTCAGAGAGAGAGAGAGAGCACAAGCAGGGGGAGTGGGAGAGGGAGAAGCAGGCTTCCCACTGAGCAGGGAGCCCAATGCCGGGCTGGATTCCAGGACCCCGGGATCATGACCTGAGCCGAAGGCAGCCACTTAACGACTGAGCCACCCAGGCGCCTCTCATTATCTTATTCTATCTTTTTATAAGTTTGAGAATTTCCACACTAAAAAGTTAAGGACCAAAGAAAACCATCAGACCTGCTCATTACCCTGGCTCTGCTAAAACAATAGCCCCATCTGCTTGGAGGCTTACATGAACTGATTTAATCACGTCGACCTCATTCCTTATGAAATCAAAAGGGGCAAAGGGAAAAAAATAATTACTGAAACCTCCCACGGGTCACACACATTAAGTCATCTGTAAAAACAGAAGCATCTTAGTAACTACTGAAAGATACTCTTTAGTAGAAGTCCTATGAGGTAGGTTGCTATAGGCACTTAACAGATGGGGAAACTGTCTTAGAGAGGCTGCGTGGGATTCAAACTAAAATAGACTTGTTCACTAGAGTGCCCCAGGCTGCCTCCCAAGACACATGGGGAAGAGGGAGAAGGAATGCGGGTGAGACAGTGGAGACACGGCACCCAAGATTTAAGGAGGCACTCACTCTCAGTGCCAATCCTGCACTTGGACAATTGTGAAAGTGGGTGCCTCCTTAAATTTTGTACTACAGCCACCTCGCTTCCCCACCCTAGTCCCTGCCCTTGGGAAAGATATTCTTTACCTAGAGTTTGCTTTCCCTGCAGCCTCTGTAATGAAGGCTGGGAGGTCTGAATGATGAGTGGAGTAGAGGAGCCGGAGGTTCGAGGGCCGCGGCCCGGCTGCAGTACACTCACTCTCCCCTGGGGGGCGTGCGTCACCTGGCCTACGACTGCCCAGAGCAGCCCAGCTCACGTTCCCAGCATTAGTGTTAGCTCCAGAAAAAGCCACACCCTCAGGTAGCAGTGTTGGGGCAAGGCAGCCAAATAAGTAGGTTTGGAGGCCCCTGGGAGCAGACAAAAACTGTCCAGTACAAGACTATTTGTGTATTTATTTTTCTTCAGGTTGTTCTAGAGTAGAACCAAAACCACACCTATAGTTAATACTTGAAAAGATCCTGGTCTGTGACTGTACATGGTTCAGTGCTTGTCGCAAAGTAGGGTTTTAACAAATGGGGAGTCACTGATTCTCTACAAGAGACTTGGTTTCTGAAGGGAGGCTGGGGCCCAAAGAATAAAACCATGCAACCATCTGCACCTGTTAATGCGCTATAGTCAAAAGGAACACAACCCCAAATGGGGCTCTGGAAACAGGATAAGAATGAATACAGGATGCCTGTGTGCTCTGCTCAAAGGACCGTGGACAATGAGCAACTGAGGGGGTGGGCAGTCCAGTTCTGGCAAATACTCCCTGCCCTTTTGGCATTCAAGGGGAGCATGGGGTAAAAAGGAGGGCCCCCAAGTCCCATATATATTCATATACTCATTTATGTATTCATGACCCCAAACAACAGCTTGACTTCATACTCCCTGAGTCTCCCAGAACCCTACTGTGGCTAATGTAGATGTTCAGTTTAAGCTGTGGGGATAGTCTATCCACATCAATTTGGCAACTGGCAAAGTATTTATTCAGACATAATGCAAATGTTTGTGTGCTGTAAACTGAAGAAAATGAAATGAGAAATTGTCAGGACTCAGTATGTAACTTAATTCATCAATAATACAAAGAAATAAATAAAATAAACCTATTTGTATCAAAAAGAATAAAATACCTAGGAATAAATTTAACCAAGGAGGCAAAAGATCTGTACACTGAAAACAATAAGACATTAATGAAGAAGATTAAAGAAGACACAAATAAATGAAAAAGATATTCCATGCTCATGGATTGGAAGAATTAATATTGTTAAGATGTACATACTACCAAAAGCAATCTACGGATTCAGTGCAATCTCCATCAAAATTCCAATGGACTTTCTCACAGAAATAGAAAACCAAACCTAACATTTATATGGAACTACAAAAGACCCCAAATAGCCAAAGCAATCTTGAGAAAAAATAAAGCTGAAGCCTATTTCCCGATGTCAAACTATATTACAAAGTTATTGTAATCAAGACAGTATGGCATTGGCATAAAAACAGATATATAGGTCAATGAAACAGAAGAGAGAGCTCAGAAACAAACTCATGCACATATGGTCAACCAACTTACAACAAAGAAGCCAAGAACAGTCTCTTCAATAAACAGTGTCTGGAAAGTTGGACAGCAACAGGCAAAAGATTGAAATTGGACTTCTATCTTACACTATATACAAAGAACAATGCAAAATAGATTAAAGACTTGATCATAAGACCTGAAACCATAAGATTCCTAGAAGAAAACATAAGGAGTAAGCTCCTTGGCATCAGTCGTGGCAACAATTTTTTGTCTTTGGCAACAAAAGCAAAAATAAAAAAAAATGGGACTATATCAAACTAAAAAGCTTCTGTACAGCAAAGGAAACCATCAACATAATGAAAAGGCATCCTACTCAATGGGAGAAAATATTTGCAAATCATATATCTGATAAGGAGTTAAAAGCCAAAATATATAAAGAACTCCTACAACTCAATAGCAAAAAAGCCAAACATTCTGATTAAAAAATGGGCAGAGGATCTGAATAGACATTTTTCCAAAGAAGACATACACATGGCCAGTAGGTACATGAAAAGATGCTCAACATCACTCATCGTTAGTGAAATACCAGTCAAAGCCCCAGTGAGATATCACTTCACACCCATTAGAATGGCTAGTATCAAAAAGACAAGAAATAAGTATTAGCAAGGCTACGGAGCAAAGGGAACCCTCGTGTACCGTGGGTGGGAATGGGAATTGGGGCAGCCACTGCGGAAAACAGTATGGAGGTTTGTCAAAAAATTAAAGGCAGAACTACCCTATGATCCAGCAATTCCATTTCCGGGTATATATCCAAGGGAATTGAAATCACTATCTTCTTTTTTTAAAAAAATTCTTTAAAGGGATGAAGTCACTATCTTGAAGAGCTATCTGCACTCCCATGTTCCCTGCGGCATTATTCACCAACAGCCAAGACAGGGAAACAACCTCAGGGTCCGTCAAGAGATGAACGGATAAAAATGTGGTATATATGAAGCAATATTAGGCAGCCATAAAAAAAGAAAGAAAATCTGCCATTTGTGACAATGTGGATGACCTTAAGGACATTATGCTAAGTGAAATAACCCCGACAGAGAAAGGAAAATACTATATGATCTCACTTATATGTGGAATTAAAAAAAAAAAAAGAACTCATCGATACAGAGAAGAGATTGGTGGTTGCCAGAGACGGGATGTGGGCGGGGAGTGGGAGAAACAGGTGAAGGTGGGCAAAAGGTACAGATTTCCATCTATAAGATAAATTAGTCCTGGGAATGTAATGCAAAGCAAGGTGACTCTAGTTAACAATGCTGTCATGTATATGTGAAAGTTATTAAGAAAGCAGATCTTTAAAGTTCTCATCTCAAGAAAAAGACATTGTAACTATGATGGATATTAACTAAACTTATTGTGGTGATCATTTCATAATATTTATATATATCAAAGCATTATATGTTGTACACCGTAAGTCAATACAATGTTATAGGTTAATTAGATCTCAATAAAACTGGAATAAAATATAAATGTAATGCAAATGCTCACTGCAGATGGTCAAGGAGTGGTTATGGAGATCAGGTGTTACCCCTGGATGCCTAAAGAATCATCTCCTTACAGGGAATAGACAGTGATGCTTTCTCTCTCCTCGATCTTAACGCTGTCATCCGTGGGAACCGGTGGATTGCTCTGAAACTGGTTTGGAATCCGGAACCAGACTTTTAATTTCTTCTGCAGGGAGCCGTCATCACTGGGAAACACAGCAAAGGAAATCGGAACTGTCATCCCCATTCCGATTCCTGAAAACAGAAAAACCCACACGGTGAGGCGGGTATTACAGACAGAACTTGCTCAGGACTGGGGGAGATCTGCTAGTCTCATTCCTCCTCCAAGACAGTATGTTTTGTTCTTGAAATTGATTAACAAACCTTGTAGGTGTTAAAAATATATAGTCAGATACATACGAAACACCTCTTATTTGTGTATATTGGAAATAGAATATGGTGACTCAACTCATTTGAAAAAAATTACTTGGTAATATATAACAAGACTAAATATTTCAGTATCTAATTAGTTTTTTTAAATTTTTAAAAAAGACTTTATTTATTTATTTGACAGAGAGAGACAGCGAGAGAGGGAACACAAGCAGGGGGAGTGGGAGAGGGAGAAGCAGGCTTCCCGCGGAGCAGGGAGCCCGATGCGGGGCTCGATCCCAGGACCCCGGCCCGGGATCATGACCTGAGCTGAAGGCAGATGCTTAATGACTGAGCCACCCAGACGCCCCTCTAATTACTGTCTATTTAAATATAAATTTTAAGGAAGTAATCCAAAATATGGGAAAGGCTATCGGTAATAGGATATTCATTGAAGCAAAATTTAGAACTGTGAGAGATTGGGAGCCATATAAATGTTCAAAACAGGAATATGTCTAAGTAAATTAGACACATTATACATCGTGCAATATAGTGTAGCTATCAATAATTACGCTTAAGAAGAGTATTTAGCAATAGTGGAAAATAGTTATAAGTAACTATAAGTAACAGAAGGATATACAATTGCACAAACACTATGATTACATTTTAAAGGCCTATTAAAAAGCCCTAAAGAAATACATTCAGAAGACAACAATGATTGTATTAAAAAAGATGGATCAGGGGTGCTGTTTTGTTATTTTCAAGATTTTCTTTAATGTTTAATCATTTAAAAATATTTTTTTAAAAGATTTATTTATTTATTTGGGGGGGAGGGGGCAGAAGGAGAGGGAGAAGGAAAGAGAGAGAGAATCTGAAGCAGACCGTGCTGCGCATGGAGCCCGACGTGGGGCTTGATCTCAACACCCTGAAATCACGACCTGAGGCGAAACCAAGAGTCGGATGCTCAACCAACTGAGCCACCCAGGCACCCTGAGTTTTATCATTTTTATACATATATTCTTTTAAAAAAAAAAGTTACAACAGTATTAAGAAGGAAAAGATTTCTTCCTGACCTCCTACTGGTTGCCTTATCATCCAAAGCCTGATTACTTTGGTGCTACTAATGTTACTGAGGTTAATACCAGTTTCTGACTTTCTAAATTATCAGCTTGAGAAATATTCTACAAATTAAACATCCTATCTCTTTTTTCACCTCGCTTTCTGACCCATTTTGGGTTGGCACTGATTCTAAAGAGCAGTCCAAATTAGAGAGCTTTAGAGTTAAATTCATATTTAAATATAGTCTACATACTGGCAGGCACACTGAAACTTCGGGCCCATCATTTGAAAAATGGGGGCACAGCCAGCACAGACTGACATGTCTAAGAGTGGGACCCCCTAAAAATTCTCAGACCCTTCATTTGCCAGGACAGGGCTGAGGACCTGCCATACTCATCAGTCACTGAGGCTCAGCGCTCTGCAGATTCTGAGCTACCGGGGGACTGGACAGAGATGTTCAGCCTGGAGGCAGAGGTCTCAAGTCTGAAGCTGGCCTGGCTCTGTGACTTGGCTTTCTTCACTCAGTCAACCAATCCAAAGATACTATAAGCACTACAGGGTTAAAACCCCCAGAGTGTATGTTCATGCCTGGGAGAGAAGCATGCGTCGGTGATATGGAGCAGGGATACCACACACCGAGGGGTAGGCTGGGATGAAGTCAGGGTGGTCCCCCTAGAGTTTCCTTGTGCACACAGCCCAAGTTCTCATGCTACTGAAGCAGGTGGTGACAGGTGCTCTGTGGTGCCTCCTTGTATTTCCCCTGATGACATGAGACCTAGCAAGCTTGCCTCTGAGACCAGAGCCATGCCCCTCGGGGATACTCACCCTTGTCATTGGTGCCTCCCACGTACTTTATGACTTTGGGCATTGCTTCCCGTAGACCCTCATCCACAGGCTTGTCTGTCACTTCCACTGTGGCAAACCGCCCACCCTCACAGGTCCTTTCCTCATAGGAGACATCTTCCTAGAAACAGAATATACATGCTTAAGAGATTAAAAGTGGCAACCTGTGATTACTCTAGAAGAAGCGGTAATGGCCCAGTCATAAGAACGGCTAAAGAACTTTCCATAACGAACCTGGGCATGGTGACAGGGCAGAAGAGACAATAGGAGTACGAAGGGCCATGGGAAGAAGATTCTGGGATTTCTTACAAATGTGGAGTCAGCAGGAAAAACTTCAAATCATCAATACTCTCAGAGAGATAAGAGAAAATATTGCATCCCAAGCCACTCAGAACATCCCCAGAATGCTAGAAAAATACAATGTTCAGAGATCAAAGAGCTCTTAGAAATTAAAAATATAACAGAAATGAAAAATTCAGGGGAGAAGTCAGAAGATAAAGCTGAAGGAAATCTTCTAGGAAGTCAAGTAAAGAGGAAGGATGTAGAAAACAGAAAAGGAAATCAGAGGATCAAGCCGGGAAATCCAACATCTGAATGACAGGAGAGCCAGGAAAATGAGAAGAAGAAAATTGGAAAGGTGGAAAGACAGAGATCCAGCAACAATGCCACAAACTCAAAGGCCCCAGGATTAGCCTCATTCTAGAAGCAGGGCCGCAGGTCAAGAAGAATCAGAGTCAGTCAGAGTGAGACAAACCAGAAGGGACTCTTAACTATAGAAAACAAACTGAGGGTTGCTGGAGGGGAGGGGGTGGGGGTATGGGGTAACCGGTGATGGGCATTAAGGAGGGCACGTGATGTGATGAGCACTAGGTGTTATATGCAACTGATGAACCACTAAACTCTACCTCTGAAACTAATAATACACTCCATGTTAATTAATTGACTTTAAATTAAAAAAATAAAAATAAAAGATCCCCATGGCAATTTTCACAAAATTAAAAAAAAAGAATCAGAGTTGTTCTCTTCACTTGTACTCCCAGACTTGACTCCTCATTCCAACTCATCTTGCTAAATCGTAGCCCCCACTCCCCCTGAACGCTCAGCTCCAGTGCCACTCCCCCACAAAGCCTTCCTCCCTGGTAGGACGCCCCCCCCCGCCCGTCATGACCACTCTCCGCGCAAATCTCTGTCCTTAGGTCATTATCCCTTGCCTTATGGACCCACGCAGCCCTCCTCCTCCATCCCCCGCTTCTTCCTTGTCCTTTGATATTTCATACAATATAATTTCATATTCCTTGAACATATGTTATAAGCCAGTGTTTTTCAAACCTGAAAAAGAATCACGCTCCAAAACAAGAAATGCATTTTTACATCATGCCCTATCAAGAACATACACGTGATTGAAACAAAGTTTCACAAAATAATACTTTACCCTTATGGAGGGGAGGCTTTCTGATACTAACCTTTTCTTTCTTTCCTGTTGACTTCTACTCTACTCAAGTGAATTTTAGTCTACTCTACTAAAAGAAGACAGATGTACTCTATATTGATTTTGCTATCTGGTAATGGAACACTGGTGCAGTTTGAAAAATCTGCTATAAAGTCTTTGCGGACAAGAACTATGCCATGGAGCATCATAATTAGATGCTCAGTGGGTGTTTATTTATTGATTAAGGAGCTGCCTCTCTTACTAATGATTATGAAAAATAGACACATGAGAGAGGACTTGGCCACCCTGGCTGGGCAAATAGGCCTTCCTGTAACATCCTAGATTGAAGCTTTTCAAATCCCAAGGGGACAGAATGACTCTCTGGAGGTGGGTAGGACTGTGGAGCTAAGAGGTCTGTATAGTCTGAAAAAGTACATTTACATTATAATTTTATGTTTAGAATGAAAAAAAATACCTATTGTTTTTTGGTAATGCAAAACGAAAGGAGAATAGTGAGAAAGGGGCCCGGGAAATCCGAAAGGTTTCTGAATGCCAGTTTCATCAACTTCCCTTCACGTGGGGCAGGGGAAATTGCACCAAACTGGGAATCAAGAGGCTACAAATCAAATCCACTGTGGCTACTAATTCCGAGGATGGCTGTGAGGTCCTCCCCTTGGAAAGTGTCACATTTCCAAAGGGCCTTCAGTAGCAAACCATGTTGCATAAACCTGGAGTGTTTTGCTCTCTCTGGCTCTGTCACAGCAGAGACTAGACTCACCCTTCATTTGAGGTCCCATTGAGTCTTGCCACTTGAGTTTAAAATTCTGTGACTCACAGAACTGCAGCCTGAAAACGGTTTTAAAGTTCATCCAATCAAACTAATTTTCCCAAAGAGGAAATGAAGAACCAGAGGGACTGAGTTGCCCAGGAACACACAGCTACTAAGTGGTCAACGCTGGAACCAGAATTCCAGGCTCCAAACCCTAGTCTAATGCTAACTACAGGACTCTGTACTATATGGGGGATGATGCAAGCGCTTTTAAGTATCTTCCTTTAGCTACTGAGTTAGTTCTTTCTGATAGACATTTGTATGCCTGTGTCCAACTCCGAAGAGGGGCATCTAAAGTCATTGAGTGCGGCTTATTCTCTCACAGATGGAGAAACCAATGACAAGCTCTCACTGGAGAAAAGAGCTGGTTGGCTCTTTCCTTCATTCTTTCTTTCCTTCTCTTATTCATTCAACCACCAACAATGGAGTTTCTACTATGTGCTGAGCACTGTACCAGGTGCTAAGATACTGATGAAAGACACAGTCTCTGACATCAGGAGGGGTGTGGTCTAATAGAAGTGGCCAGGAAACCGGGTTATAATCCGATGATATATTTAAGAGGAGAGGCAGGGCAGCATGGGAACACAGAAGAGGCCTACTTCGGTTCTTCTGGGGGGCAGGGTGTGTGTTGATGTGCTTGGCTAGGTCAGGCTGACCTTGAGGTGCTTATAGATCATCCAACTGGACATTCAGTCACTGTGCATGGATTTATTGAGGAAATATTATTGAAAACCTCTGACAGGTGCTATGGATTTGGAGGGCAGTCTAGTGGGGTGGTGAAAAGATTATGAAATTATCGTATGATGTAGTAAATGTTCTGATAGTTCAGGGAGGGTGATTTCAGGTAGTGGGCACCATAGATGTACAAGAGCAAAGGGGAAGAACAATATGCTGCAGGTGAAGAATACAAGTGCTTCACTGGACCTAGAGCAAAGGCTGGGGAGAGAGGGGCTGGAGATTCTGGCTGGGGCCAGACCCCTGAAAAACTCCTAGGCTGCCATAGGGAGGATTTTGTAACCATTGTTCCCCCGCGGGGGAGCTGAGTGCAACTCAGTTTCATCTACCCAAAATTAGTTCAACCGACTTTGTGATCCAAATGTGGGATTTTGAGTGGGAGGGGTCCTGGTGCAGAAAGGAGTTCTGGGGATGGTATAGGTGATCTGTGCTCTCAGCCTCTTCCCTAGGCAGAGGGTCCACAGCAAGGAAAGAAAGGCTGCCAAGAAAGGAATCTAGTTTGATTCAAAGAGCCAAGGCCCCCATGATAATTCTACCAATCTTTTTTTTAAAGGTTTTACTGATTTATCTGAAAGAGAGCAAGCAAGAGAGAGCATGAGCGGGAGGAGGGGTGGAGGGAGAGGGAGAAGCAGACGCCCTGCTGAGCAGGGAGCCGATGCGATGTGGGGCTCAATCCCAGGACCCTGGGGTCATGACCTGAGCCAAAGGCAGACACTTAACAGACTGGGCCACCCAGGCGCCCCATAATTCTGCCAGTCTGTAAGGCTCAACTCCACCTCCTCTTCTTGAGGGATCCCTCCTTCCTATGAACTCCAAAGGCAGAGAACACTTAGAAGGGCCCCTTCATATCTATCAGTTCATCTGCCTCCTGTTACAGATGAGCAAACTATCCATTGCGCAGCTGGACATGTGGGCCTGGAGCTCAGCAGGAGACTGACATGGGGAGATAAATTTGGGAGTCATCAGCAAAAGGGGTAACTAAAGCTGTGAACGAAATTGAGATTGCCCAGGGAACATACACAGAGCATTCTGTATCACTTGACAAGTTAATTAATGTCCTACCTAAAAGCCCTCGTTCACCACGTTCTTAACCTCTCCCAAATGGGCCAGGCACCAGCTAGCTTCTACCTACCTTGCCAGCCACACCCAGAGCACTTCCTCACTGGCCTTCTGCTATTTCATTCAATGCCATGGTCATTCCTGCCTCAGGGCCTCTGTACCTGCCTCTTCTTCTGTCTGGAGTATCTCTTTCCTGTCCCTGCCTGATGGACCCCTACTAATCCCAAAAGTCCCAACCTAAAAGTCACATCCTCAAAGAGGATCCTCATTTAAAACAAGTTCCCATGAGTGCCTGGGTGGCTCAGTCGTTAGGCGTCTGCCTTCGGCTCAGGTCATGATCCCGGGGTCCTGGGATCGAGCCCCGCATTGGGCTCCCTGCTCCACGGGAAGCCTGCTTCTCCCTCTCCCGCTCCCCCTGCTTGTGTTCCCTCTCTCGCTGTGTCTCTCTCTGTCAAATAAATAAATAAATAAAATTAAAAAAAAACAAAACAAACAAAAACCAAGTTCCCATGATATTTTTTATAGCCCCTTGGACTTTCACAACAGAAGTCATTGTAATTATAACTGAATAATAATGTGTTTAACCTCCATCTGCAACCATAAGCCCCATGGGGTCGGGGGCTGTCTGTGTTTACCACTGTATCTCTTAGTGTCTTGCATATGGTAGGTACTAGGAGTATTTGTGGGAAAGGAGGCTGTGGAGTAAAACCCGGTTTTACTCTAAGAACAAGGAATACAATAGACATGGCTGGGTAGACAGATGAGCAATTAGTCTAACTATATCTATGCTGGAAGAAAGCAAACTCACAATGTCTTAAGGTGGTATGACAGCAGGTCCCATCTGATTTGATAGCATCTATGTCCGTAAACTCTCATTTGAACCACTGGATCACTGTGAAGATTTAGGTTTGAGAAATGGATATTACAAAACTACTCTAGTCCTTTAGGGAGCAGAATTTAAATAGAGTTCTATTTCCGCAGGAAAAAAAAAAAAAGCACCTAAGTTAACACAGCTAACACATTTGATTCTTCAAATTTAGTGTCTTTAGTGTGTGTCCTTGTCACATGGAACATAATAACAGCCCACCTTTGCCCCAGATCCAGCTAGCTTATGCTTCCAATCAGATGAGGATTTGGCCCATGGCCGCAAACACCAATTTTCAAAATTCTCTGGGAACCCTGGTCAAACTCAAATCTGAAGGCAGACGCTTAACCATCTGAGCCACCCAGGCGCCCCCCAGACAGGGAGTTTGCAACAGTGCCTCTTGCTATGGGATTTGCAAGGTCCTTTACAAGGTCAGTTTTTTTCTTTGCCACCTGCTGGGGTGGGTATACATGTTGATTCTGGAAGCCAGCTTTTTCATTCTAAGAAAATTAATAATAATAATAATAATAGTCAACCTAACTCAGTACTTTCTATGTGTCAGGTATTATTCTAAATATTTTGCATGGATGTGTTCATGCAATCCCTCCAATGATCCTGTGAAGAAGTGAGCGTTTTAATCTTTATTTTCAGGTGAAACTGGAGCACAGGGGGTTAAGTAACCTGCCGGAGTTACAGTGGGCAAGTGGTAAGCCAGGATTCAAACCTGGGCTGTCGGGTCCTAACCCGTCCTAACAACGTGCACAGCCTAGAAAAAAATCCCATTAAGATGTCAGTTATTCATATCAGTCCTGCTCTGAGCATTCACAAGACCCACCTAATCCAACACAGAGCACAGTGTGCCCCGCTCCTTCCCGAAGCAATGTGGAAGGTGCCTGATAAGTTCCGCAGCAGCATGGACCTCCCCATCACAATCAGTCCTGAACATCTGGTGAACCCGAACCTGAGCTACACGGGGCCCACTGTCTGCCATCTATCTTGGCCCAAGAAAGTGGGCAACAGTTCCTGACCCAGACGCTATCCAGGGCAAGAGAGATAATTTCAGGGAGAGTCTGTCTTCAAAATAATAACCCCCTGAATTTGTATATTTTTTAAAAAAGGCATATAAGTATCTTTGAATAGTTAAGTAATTGTCACATAGGCACTGTCATTCTCACATTATAGTTGAGGAATTTCAGGGTTCAAAGTGGTTAGGAGGTTGAGTAGCTTACCCAAAATTACCTGTGAAACTAAGGGGAAGTTAACGGTTACCATACCCAACCAAGTGCTAGGTATTTTGTTGAACAACTTATAACTGGTTATCTCCTTTAAACTTCCAAAGATTCTTATAAGACACAAATTATTATTTCCTCTCGTGATCAGCTTCAGAGAAGTTAAGTAAGTTGCCTGTGACCACACAGCTAGCAAAAGCGGAGCTGAGATGAGTTCTGACATAATGATATTACTACATTTGTAGGGTGCATGACTTTACAAAGCAGTTTCATGTTTTTAAAAATTTAATATTTATAATTAGTCTGGGAGTAGATGAGAAAGATATTTTTATACCCATTCTACAGCTGCAGAAAATGAGATCATTCAGGTTAAAAGATCTGCGTCAGCCTGGTAGCAATATCTCATATGGCACCATATTCCCATCAAATGTTGAGGGAAGATGCTTATCAGGGAACTGTATTTATCCCTAGAGGCACTGAATCAGTGGCAGGTGACACTGTTATCACTAAGGGTCTAACAGGAAACAGAAACTGCTAGAGTATTTTGAACAGAGGCACCTCATTCCAAGAAACTTATTTCATAGATAACAGAAGAGCTGAGATGCTCAACAGGGAACAGGGAAGCAACCCAGAGGTTGGTGAGCACCCTAGGAGAGGTAGAGGGAGGATTCTCTGTTACCTGCGCTCAGATACCTGGATCACTCGCTGGATGCTAGAACCATGGTGGCCTGTCTAGAAAGAGCTGGAGCTACAGAGAAACTCTTGGTGCCAGAGACCTGACAGTTCAGAGAAAGAGAGGGAGAAACACCTTCTTCCCATCCTGCCCCCACTAGCGCCTCCCTCTGGGTGAACCTTGCTGCGAGTTGTCTGACATCGGAGCCTGGGAAGTAGGCAACTGGAATCAGCCTCCACTCCAGACTCCAGACCGAGACCCAGGAATGGGCGAGGGAGGGGATCTGAGAACAGACAGGCCGCAGAACAGCCCAGACCCTGCATTGGCAATTGTCTACTAACCCAAAAAGACCCAGGGAGCTGGATTCCACTACAGAAAGGAGAGCTCTCTGGGAGCTGTTGGTAACACGGGGATTCTTTAAGCGTTAGGGCCAACAAGCATCCTAGACATTCCTGGGCCAAGTCCACAGACCGGCGTGCACACCTCACAAAGGCACAGTCTTACCACAGACAGATCCCGTGGCCGGCAGTTTACGAACACTGGTAGGCAGTTGCCAACAGGTAAAACTGACATTATTTGCCCTACTCAAAACCACAGCTCATTCCTCAAATTCCCTATTCCTTCCTGCCTTCCCTCTTGTTTTTCTTCACAGCCCTGATCACCATCTGATAACGATGTATTTGACCTGTTTACTTGTGCATTAGCCACTAAAGCGTAAGCTCCATGAAGACAGGAGTTTTTGTTGGTTTTGTCCATTGCTTTATCCCCACTGCCTGTAAGAGCGACTGGTATGCAGATGGCACTCAACAAATAATTACTTGTTGAATACATTAATTTTAACTTGGGAGAGTTCACAGGAAGAATCTGGATTTCTGGTTTTCCTTAAAAATCTGGAAACCCTGGTTTATATCCCTGCATAGCAACATGACTGCCCTTTGTAGAGGGGGCCCTGAGTTCTCCCTCGGATTTGCCTCAGTCCCCACCTTGCCTTAGAGTCTAACGCTGCCAGCTTCACTCATTTCCATGGCCTGCCTGGAAGCTTGTAGACATCTGAATATGTCACTCCTGATCTGGTCATTCTAAGTGCAGCTGAGGGAACTCAGAGACAGACAGATGAAGTGACCGGCCTCTGGTTATGGCTGCGTGAAGAGTCCAGACTAGTAGAGTCTGGTTGAGGGCTTTTGCGTGACTATCAGCGCACTAAGTACCGGAACCTGGCCCCCAGACAACACAGTCCTTTAGCATATGAGGTGCTGAGCGGGGAGCTGAGTATACAAAGGGCACAAAGTACCTGCTTGCAAGGAGACTATAATCTAGTGGCAGACTCTTTGTTTTCAGGGGGCAGTCCAATTTGCTTGTGTTAGCACTGATGTCAATTTGGGGGGATACAGTAGTTATGCCCTCTTCACCCATCCTGTATTCTAGAACCCAACTCTGGGAGTTCCACTGGCCGGCATACCATTTTAAGGCTCTGGGCCTTTGCGCATGCTCTTCCCTTTTCTGTGCCCTCCTAACATCCCAGAGACCCAGCTAAAGACACTTCCTCCGGGAAGTCCCCCTCATCAGCCCCTGGCAGAATGGATCGGTTCTCCCCCTGTGCTCCCTCCCTTGCACCTTTACTTCTGTGGAGCACAGATCTTGTTCTTTTATACTCATTTCTCCAGTAGTTGGGAATTTCTTGAGGACGAGCACGTTTTCGGTCTTTTTGCACCCGAAGGCCTCTCAGCAAACAAATGCTCAGTATGCTTAGGATGTTTAAATGAACTAATGCATTCAACAGGCGCTGTTCTATCGCCACGCCGGGACTCCTCTCTTTTTTTTTTTTTTTTTTAAAGATTTTATTTATTTATTTGAGAGAGAGAATGAGAGATAGAGAGCACGAGAGGGAAGAGGGTCAGAGGGAGAGGCAGACTCCCCGCCGAGCAGGGAGCCCGATGCGGGACTCGATCCGGGGACTCCAGGATCATGACCCGAGCCGAAGGCAGTCGCTTAACCAACTGAGCCACCCAGGCGCCCCCGGGACTCCTCTCTTAAAGCGATCTCTCTCCGCTTTTGTCTCCCCTCCTCCCAGGAGAGCCCTCAGCCCGCTGCTCCGTACTTCCCTTTTACTTCCTCCTTCCCAGTTCACGTGCTGGGCACTGGAGGGCCGCGCCTCCCGCAGAAGCTAAAACGCACATTCTGGGGCACACCGCTGTCCCACCTGCCCGTCAGAACCCGCTCCAGCCCTGATCAGGGTGCGGTGCGTGGAGCGCGGCCCCGCTTCAGGTCCTCGGCAGCCCTGCGGGCCTACCTTGCCCCCTTTGCTGAGGACCTGCCAAGGCCACGTCTCTACGCTCCCGAACAGCGAGTTCTTGATCACGCCCAGCATGGTGCGGCTGCGGCGCTCCGGACGCACCTGCGGACTCGGGGCTTCAAGGGCGGCTGGGACAAACAGGCCAGGTCGGCTGGCTGGCCCTTCGGACTCCGCCCCGCCGAGAGGCGCTCGGAGGTCGGCCGGGCGGGGCGGGGCGGGCGCGGCGGGTGGGGTGGGCGGGGCTCGGCGGGCGGGGCGGAGGAGCGGTTACGCCCCGCCTCCACCGGCCCCTCCTCCTCTACGGAGTCTGACTACTGCGCGGGTCCTGGGCACAGATTCTCCCGCGTACGGGATTTAGGCCGCTGTGGTGGAGAACCTTTTACATCCCGTCCCCCTCCCTGCCGGCCCCCATCCACGCCGGCTTCGGCTCTCACGTACCTGGGCGCCAAACTTCCAAGCCTCTGGATTCCTCTCGAGCTTTTTTGGCTCTCTGCCCTAAGGTCTACCTCCAGTACGTACTGCATAGACACGGTTCAAAATCTCTGTAGCCCCTGCCCCTAGAGACACCTGATAGCGGCATCTCCACCGACATAATCCTGGTTTGTCTCTCCCTCCACTCTATTACCTCTCACCTAGACGATTGAAAAGCCATCTTAACTAGTTTTCTCCTTACTACTTCCTTTCCTCTAATCAGTTTTAATCACAGGTTCCACGTCAATTTCCCAAAGCGTGGCTTTGCTCATTGGGTCCTTCCAGTCAAAATCTCCTAACCAATTTCATTCCCGTTCGTTGAGTGCCTGTTTCTCGACAAGTATTTTACAAATATCATTCACTACTCCTCACACCACTAAACATACATATTTTATGGCCATTTTAAAAAGGAGGAACCTGATACCCAGAATAGTTAAATGACTTTCCTAAGGTCGAAAACCAATGTGCGGCCTGGCCAGGATTTGAATCCGTGAGAGTGGTGTCCCTGTCCCTAACACTTTATGGGGCTCCTGGATGGCTCAGTTAGTTGAGCTTCTATTCTTGGTTTCGGCTCAGGTCATGATCTCGTTGGTCGTGAGATTGAGGGTGTGGGGGGGGCCCTCCCTGTTAGGCTACCCGCTCAGGGGGGCGTCTGCTTGAACATTCTCTCCCTCTGCCGCTCCCCCCATGCGCAGGGATGTGGGCTTGCGCACACGGTCTCTCTCTCTAATAAATAAATCTTTAAAAAAATCCGTAACACTTTTATTTTTCCCTGTCACGGGACCTCTTACAGATCTACATATGTCCGGCGTGTGGCACTACTTGCCAAATACCCTCTGTATGTTCCTGTCCCCTGTGCCACAGAGATGCCTCCACCGGGACCTCCCCACCCTCTGTTGCACCCCTTGGTATTTGACTTCTCTGAAAGTCCAACGTTCATTGTGTCGCCAGAAACACTGTGTGGGCCTTCTGTCTGAATTCACCTACCATTTTGTTTATTCAAATGTTTCTCCCTGTATGAGGATTTTATATGCATGTTTAACTTCCTGATTATATTGTCATCTGGAATTGTTAACCTAATTGATAGCCTCATTTGTGCAGGCTGCTCTGAACCAACCCTGAGGGACTTTTGCTGTGCCTGCTTCTGACAGAGGGGACCTTGAACCTGAGCCAGATAGTGGTAATCAATAATGGTGATACTGAAGACTTCTAGTTTTGTGGTAACAGATACTAACTTTATTAACTATGTATAAAAAAGATTTACTTTTGACTAATGTTTGTTGATTGCTATAAAATAAATGGCTTTAATTATTTTATATTTTCTTGACTCTAAGATGACAGTGATTATTTTTATTTTTTTTAAAGATTTTACTTATTTATTTGACAGAGAGAGACACAGCGAGAGAGGGAACACAAGCAGGGGGAGTGGGAGAAGGAGAAGCAGGCTTCCCGCTGAGCAGGGAGCCCGATGCGGGGCTCAATCCCAGGACCCTGGGACCATGACCTGAGCTGAAGGCAGACGCTTAACGACTGAGCCACCCAGGCGCCCCTAAGATGACAGTGATTATGCATCACTGTTATTTTATGCGCCACCAAGAAAGAAAACAAATGCTACCTAGTATGCTATGACATTTAATTGATTTGAAATCATCCAGAGACATTAAAATGTGAAATAGCCTGCAGCTTATGATTCATAAGAGATTGCATGTTGCTTTGTAAGAGTTCCTGAGTCTTTCTTCCTCACAGCTATGTCCCCCCCAAACTACTCTATCAAAGGGCAAAGATTTATTTTTCTTTAGCTTTACCCTCACCCAAGGGTTGCTCAATAACTGTCCAATGATTAACAAAGCTATTCTTTTTTTTAAAAAAGATTTTATTTATTTATTTAATTTAGAGAGAGAGTGTTTGGGAGGAGGGAGAGAGGCAGAGGGAGAGAATCTCAAGCAGACTCTCACTGAGCACGGAGGTTGACACGGGGCTGGATCTCAGGACCCTGAGATTGTGACCTGTGCTGAAATCAAGAGTTGGACTCTCAGGGCGCCTGGGTGGCTCAATCATTAAGCATCTGCCTTCGGCTCAGGTCATGATCCCGGGGTCCTGGGGTCAGGCCCCACATCGGGCTCCCTGCTCTGTGGGAAGCCTGCTTCTCCCTCTCCCCTTCCCCCTGCTTGTGTTCCCTCTCTCACTGTCTCTTTCTGTCAAATAAATGAATAAAATATTAAAAAAAAAAGTTGGACTCTCAACTGACTGAGCCACCCAGGTGCCCCTAAACTATTCTTGATATTAGATCTAATCATCTATTTTAGTTACTAAAGTAGTCACAGTGAAATGGGGCCTATTACTCAGCATGGTCAAGTAGCAAAAACATTTGGGAATCAGAAGACATAGGGTCAGATGATCTGGATTCCAATTTGGCTCTGTCCTACTAGTGTGATTAGTGTCTCCTCTGCAAATTCCTAAACCTCTGCAGGCCTCAGTTCTTACATCTGCAATGTTGGGGTAATAATGCCCCCTCAGAGTGCTGTTGGCAGGATCGAAATTGCTCAGGCACTTAAAACCACTGTGTGCACTGTTAGGGGCTGGAATCCCCCCACTCCCAGGGTCAAGTTGGTTCTACGACCAAGAACTAAACCTAGTTGCTTCAAGAACATTGCATGGATGTGTCATTTTAAAGCACGGATTATTAGAAGTTTTCCTTTATCTGAAGACTTCGTTTTTTTTATTTTTTATTTTATTTATTTATTTTCAAAGATTTTATTTATTATCTATTTGACAGAGAGACACAGTGAGAGAGGGAACACAAGGAGGGGGAGTGGGAGAGGGAGAAGCAGGCTTCCCGCTGAGCAGGGAGCCCGAAGCGGGGCTCGATCCCAGGACCCTGGGACCATGACCTGAGCCGAAGGCAGTCGCTTAACCAACGGAGCCACCCAGGTGCCCCATCTGAAGACTTTGATATGTTGCGAGATACTTCCCTTTGCAATTTATTAGGTATTAAAATAGAATAATGTTGACTGTGTGTGTGCTGCAGACAAAAGATACTGTATGTATTATTTATGCAGTGTTTTTGAGGGCAAAATGTTATGATGAAGCAGAATTTGGTAGGAAAAGGGTAATGATAACTTATACTCCTTGAGGGCTGGATATGAGCCAGTAAACATCATGAGTGCTCTATTTGGTTCATCTCATTTAACCCTGACCCTAACCCTGGGAAGAAAGTATTAGTACTTCCCCAGTGTTGTAGATTAGGAAATTGGGGCATAGACAAACTAGGTAATCTATGTAGGAGCGGGCAGCTAATAACAGTGAGGGTAGGGTTCAAACGCAGGTACTATAGGGCCAGAGCCATGCTGCTCTTAATGCTTCTCTAAGCATCTAGGGCAATCGAGCAGGAAGTGTGACCCCCAACTTCCAAATCACCAAGTGCTGAAGAAGGCAGGGAAGAAGGCCCTGGGGGATTTGACCGTTAGTCGAGGCAATGGCTGCAGCTAGCTGCTTGTTGTTTCCCTGGAAATGAGACCAGGAAGAGAGATGAATTCAAGAGATCAGGGGTGGATGTGGGGGTTGAGATCTACAGCAGAGGAACCCACTCAAAACATGGAGTTTGATGGGAGGCACATTCAGAAGCAGAGTTTACCTAGGCCAAGAGTGAAGTAACGCAGGCAGTAATATTTACATGTAAGACAGGACAAAGCAGAGCGCTATCGTCCAAAGTTAGACATCGTACTCTCATCCTACTCACCATTTATGGGGAGAAGAGAACAAGACCTGGAGCTGTGGGAAGAGAGGCTGGTGAAGGAGTGTGGTAGGGAGAGAGAATTCAGTTGCTGAGGAGAGAGGAAGATTTGGAGGAAAGCCACTTGAAATGGAAGTTTTTTTTTTTTTTTTCTGATACATATGATAATTGCCTCTTCCTTTTTTGCAGGAAATGTTCATTAAGCCAACCTACTTTCCCAGGTCAGTGGGTCACATGGGAAGTCAAGAGTTGAGCCTGGCCTTCATTAAAAGGAGATGAAGTTCAATGACTTTGGATAACATTTGATTCACCTTGAGTTTTATGTTTATTCTTCCTTTGAATTGAAGCCCCAAAACATGCTCTACACTGAGGTTGTACAATATAAAATCTTTCCCCCCAAATTGGACAGAAAAATGGAAACTTGTTCCATTGTTGTACGTTATTGCAATCAGACATGAGGAGCCATTTTGCTTTTGGTCCCCCCACCCCTTGCAGAATGGGCTTTAACTTATTGTTTTAAAAAATCACTAGCACATTAAAAAATTGGCATTTTACTTAAATGTTCACGATGAATATGCTAACAATACCACTAATAATATCAATGCAATCAATGAAGACAGCTCCTAACATCTTTGGCATCTTTACTATATGACAATTATAACTTTGTTTCCTCTGAGAAAAAGCCACTCTGAAAAGCCAGTAAATCAAGTTTCTGAGCCTTAAAAACTGAGGCTGATAATTAGGCTCAGGACTGTGGTGTCTTGGGGGAGAGATGTAGGTTGGAGAAATAGATATGAAAGTCATCAATATCTTCAGCTCCTCATGGGCACCTTGGAAGTGATGAAATGGCCCAGGTAGAGTAGGCAGAATAAGAAAAGAGAACCTGGACAGGACACTGAGGAATGCCAACATTCGATTGCACTAAGGAGAACAAGAAAAAGTTGTGACATCAGGAGGGGAAATCCATGGAGCCACTGAGCCAAGAAATCAAGAGAAGAGTGTGTCTC